CGCCGTCGCCATCTTGCGTCCGTCGCGGCCGCCGCGCGCGCCACAAGCACCAGCCCCCTCCGCAGTCTCGCGCGATCTGGGCGCCGGGCGCGGAATTCTCGCGATATATGACGTAGTTACGTGAGCGGAGACCGGAACGCATTTCCGGGGTTGGGGTCGGGGGAAGGAGAGCGACCAGTTAAAGTACCGGATGAGGATAGGGCGTGCCGGAGTTCTGGAGTCGACACCCAGAGATTCCTCCCCTGTTCGGGGGTCAACACTCGCCGAAAGCGAGAAAGAGAGGTCGATTTCTTCTCTTCGTAGACAGTGAGACAGAAGATAAAAAGACTGCATCATCTTTGCATTATCTATCTTTTTTGTTATTGTTGTTGTTTTTGTTTTTCGAGACAGGGTTTCTCTGTGTAGCCCTGGCTGTCCTGGAACTGACTCGGTAGACCAGGTTGGCCTCGAACTCAGAAATCCGCCTGCCTCTGCCTCCCAAGTGCTGGGATTAAAGGCGTGTGCCACCACTGCCCGGCTTTTTTTGTTGTTGTTTTGTTTGTTTGTTTGTTTGAAACAGGGTTTCTCTGTGTAGCCCTGGCTGTCCTGGAACTCAGTCTGTAAACCAGGCTGGCCTCAACTCAGAAAACGCCTCTACCTCCCAAGTGCTGGGATTAAAGGCGTGCGCCACCACCTCCCGGCTGCATTGTCCATCAAAAGTCAGGAATCCTCATTTATTTTGAAATATGATCTCTTTCCTAGTGAGAGAGTAGCCTTTTAGAACTATTGATTGACAAGGAGGTAGCCCCAAAAGACGGTTCCCCAGGCAGTCCTGTGGGCATAAAAGACGGTTCCCCAGGCAGACCTGTGGGCATAAATGTGCACGCTCGTCCCCAAGTCCTGAGCTATGTGTAAATCTGTATGTTCATCTGTGCTGTGTGAGGAGTTGCACTCAGTACCAAGACTCTAAGGCTGCCTGCAAGACACCAACCACATCTGTAAGCTCAAAGCCCCTTCAGACTACACTGGATAGGCATTCTGTTTTTCACCCCTGAATTTTTCAGAATTTAATATAGAGATCTCTAGCAAAATATGGCACGATACTTTCCTCCCCTTCCAAACCCCCTTTAAACAGGAAAGGAACATTGAAAGCAAAGCCTGAGTGGGCAGAGAAGCGGAACGCTGGGGAATCAGGGGAGAGCCTTAGTAGACTGGTTTGTGATGCTTGTGTCTAGAATTCTCCGAAAAAGACCAGATTAGGGGGAAAAAAAAAAGTAGGTGCCTCCAGACTTCTATCCCTACATGATGCTAGTCATTCTGGCTCTGCTAACAATGGCTGGAAATTAGCTCCACTCTGGGAAAGGGGCATTGAGACCCAGCTTAGCATCTCAGTCTTCAGCACAAGTGGCCAGGCAGAATCACCAAGCACAAGAGCATGAGGAAATGTGACGCAGAAGAAATGGAGACAATAAAGGAAATGGGAGAACAAGAATAGAAACTGAGAAAGTATTATCATCAAATATACCCAGAGATGTTGCATCCCCAAAACAAGAAAGACCATGAACTTAGATTTCTTCCCAATTAAAAAATAAAATAAGGGTGGGTGGGGGATGGGGTAAGGGGACAACATATGAAATGTAAATAAAACATCCAATAAAAAAATTAAAAAAAAATAAATAAATAAAATAAGGCCGGGCAGTGGTGGCACATGCCTTTAATCCCAGCACTTGGGAGGCAGAGGCAGGCAGATTTCTGAGTTCGAGGCCAGCCTGGTCTACAGAGTGAGTTCCAGGACAGCCAGAGCTACACAGAGAAACCCTGTCTCGCAAAAACCAGAAAATAAAATAAAATAAAGATGGCCAGGTGGTAGTGGTGTACTCCTTTAATCCCAGCACTTGGAAGACAGAGGCAGATCTCTGAGTTCGAGGCCAGCCTGGTCTACATAGGTCAGGACAGCCAGGACCACACAGAGAAACTTTTATCTCAAAAAACAACCCCTCCCCAAACAAAAAATCTGAAAATGAGCAGTTCAATAAGTTGAGCTGGGTGTTGTAGCACATACCTTCTATCTCAGCACTCCAGAAGCAGGGGCAAGGAGGATCTCTTGAGTTGGAGGCCAGCCTGGTCTACCTTTCCAAGTAGTTCCAAGCAACTTCCAAAACAGCCAAGACTACATAGAGAGATCCTGTCTCAAAACAAAAAACCCTAAAGTCGAAAGTTCCAAGAAAACTATATTTATTGGGAAAAATGGACCCACTCGAGCCTCTGAAAAATACACACACACACACACACACACACACACACACACACACACACGGAGGATCAGAGGATGTTGAGTGGGCTGGGTCTCACCATCACCACCAGGGGGAACCCCAGGCACCACCCTCTGATAGCGATGGATCTTGCTTTTCAGAAAAATGTTTAGCAAGCCGATAAAAACTTTAAAGCTCTTTGAGGTGTCGAATCTGTCTTCTGTAGAAGAACTAGCCAGAAGCCAGACTGCATGGTGACAGTATTTGGCTATTCTAGATAGCTTGTGAATCAAGAGTGAATAGTCGCCGGGCAGTGGTGGTGCCCCTTTAAACAGGAAAGGAACATTGAAAGCAAAGCTTGAGTGGGTGTTTTATGGGACTCCTAACCGTGGACATGGGGGTGTCTCCCTTTTGTCTGCTCTTAGGACCCTTTTTCACCTCCTGGGTTGCCTCATCCAGCCCTGATATGAGGGTTTGTGCCTCATGGCCTATCTGGTTATGCTGTGTTGGGCTGATATCCCTGGGAGACCTGCTGGTTTCTAAAAGAAAACAGGAGAGTGAACATGATGAGGGAGGGGAAGCTGGGAGGGGTTGAAGGGGAAACTGCGATTGGGATGTATTGAAAACAAAATCAATAAAGAAAAGAGAAAACTCTTCACTCTGCCCTTGAGCCCTCTCATGGGCAGCTCCTACATGTGTTAACCCATAACCACCTGATAAATAAATATAAAACGATAGAAAATACAAATCTAACATCTCAGTAATTTATCCAGAAAATAGGAGAGAAGTCAATAATCAATTCAAGAAAATGTCATTTTTTCTTTTCTCTCTCTCTCTCTCTCTCTCTCTCTCTCTCTCTCTCTCTCTCTCTCTCGCTTTTTTACTGTGGCAGGTCACTGAAAAGTTCCAAAACACTAGGCAAAGAAAAGATGAGAAGAAACAGAAGAGCTCTTACACAAAAGGTCAGAATTGAGAAGCGTGGCAATTCCTGGAACTAGAAGAATGTAACATGACACTCTTAAGTCCTGAGGAGAGAGGGTTTTCAGCTAAACAAACTTCTTGCACCTCGGAACATTTCAAACATCTAAGATTCGAATAAGAATAAACAGGCAAAGATTCCATACTTCCCCATCCATTCTTCTCTGGAAATCTTGAAGGATGTTTCTTTTCATGTGGGATAAAAGAAGAGGAATGCATGGGACCCAGAGGGAAGAGAGAGGCATGTAGCTAGATCCTGCTGCAGGGCAACCCACACTGAACCACAATACAGGAACAAGCAGCAGGCTCACTCCATGGAGACCCAGTAAGAGAAGAGTGATCAGTTGTGCTTGGTCCTAAATATTGAAAGGAGCCCAAAGATGAATTAATGGCAAACATGTACCAGAAAGCAGAGCTGGGGAGTGGCTCAGCAGTAAGGGGGCTTGCCACCAGATATCTGAGTTCAATCCCTTGAGCTCACATGGTAGAAAACAAAAACCCTAACTCCTACAGGTTGCTGTCTGACCTCATGAGCCATGGCACACACACGTGCACACACACACACAGGCACACACACACACACACACACAATGTTTAAAAGAACTGAAAAGGAAAATTATTAACTTCAGAGAAAACAAAAAATTGTGCAAGAGAAAATATAATGCAGAACACGTTGTTCTCTGCTAAAACCTACGCTGATGGAACCGTTAATACTCATCCGTGATGCTTATCAAACTGGGATGATGCTGGGGTAGAGGGTGGGCCGGTGTCTAGCCCTAAAGACTGCCATGTGGGGGCACCTACCATATAAAAACCAATAAAAAGGACTAAAAGCATGCTTGTGGCTGGGCACTGTGGCACATGCTTTTAATTCCAGCATTTTGTGAAATTGAAACAAGTCTGGTCTATGTAGTGAGTTCCAGGCTGTGATGGCTATTCCTGGTTGTCAAAATAACTACATCTGGAATGAACTCCAATCCAGAAAAGGAGGGCACACCTGTGATCCAGATCTTGAGGTTGGAAGACACAGGCTTCTGACTGGATCTTGACATGGAGCTCTTGAGGCACAGTGGCCATGGAAAGCTTAGGTCCAGGCAAGGCAGTACATTTTTAATCCCAGGAAACTGAGGCAAGCAGATCTCTGAGTTCAAGACCATCCTGGGACAAAGTAAGGCCAGCACATCTGTAAGAACCTACTTCTTCAGTATTCCTGCTCATACAGAAGACCAGCTGAAACTAGCCTCATGGGTCTGAGCAATTACTGGACTTTTGGACTTCCCATTCGCAGCTGACCATTGTTAGGTTACTTGGGCTACAGACCATAAGACAATAACTTTCCTTACTATATAGAGACATTCCATAAGTTCTGTGACTCTAGAGAACCCTGACTAATACACAGGCTAAGAGATTTGAATTTATGTAAAAGATTGTACAGTGTAGAAGATTGCATTTGTTGTTGACTATTGACCCTGCCAGGCAGGTCAACTTTTAAAACAGCATGTTTGCACTGAGGCACAATGGCTTACACATATAATCACAGCACCAGCCTGCTCTGGATACTGAATTCCAGGAAAGGAGGGTTGAAAGCAAGATCTTTAAAGATAAACTGAACAGACAGATGGTGGCACACGCCTTTAATCCCAGCACTTGGGAGGCAGAGGCAGGGAGATGTCTGAGTTCAAAGTCAGCCTTGTCTACAAAGTGAGTTCAACGACAGGCAGGGCTACACAGAGAACCCGTATCATGAAAAATCAAAACAAACAAACAAAGGATGCTAAAGGACAGCATTGATGCTCTCAAATTCAGTTTAATTACCTCTACAATCTGTTGTAGATGTTAAAAATAAACTATGTCACACCATGCATAATTAGAGTTCATTTAATTTATTAGGTGTCCCGTGACAGATTTGCTTTACTTTAGGTTTTGGTTTCAGTTAGGATGGCATGGTAGGTGACACAGCAACAACACCCACGGCCCATGGTCATTCTCTAAGCACCAAGACCCAGGATGATTAGTCTTGACAGCAAAAGGTACTGTGCAGGTGTGGTTAATCTACAGACCCTGAGAAAGAGCGCATCCTAGGTTATCCAAGTGGGTCCAACCTACTCACAAAAAGCCCAAACACTTCATAGCAGTGGAAAAACAGACAGCTAGTCCATGACTAGCTGAAGTGGGGGAGGAAGAAGAGCTAAGAAAAGTTGGTGGCCTCTCGAAGATGAGAAGGGCTCTTAGTTGGCAGATGTTAAGAAAACAGGAATTTCTGCCTTACCATTGCAGGGAAGTGAATTCTGCCAACAGCTTGAAGGAGCAGGAGGTGAGCCCCACCTTCCAGAAAGGAACTTAGCCTGGGTATTAATCTACTGAGAGTCCATATCAAACTTTTGATGTACAGAACTATATGTGTGTTGTCTCAAACCACTGGATTTTATGATATGTGTTAACAGCAGCAAAGTGGAACTATTAGTAATACAACAGTGAGCTTTCCTAGTTTCACCCATGAAGTCTTTAAAAAGGAACGTGAATCCACTAAATTCATAGATACATTTAAAAATGTTTAAAAAGGAACGTGAATGCACTAAATTCATAGATACATTTAAAAATGTTTAAGACTTTAAATTTGAAGTTGGAAGAGAGGCAGTTCAAGAACCAAGAAATCAGGGTGGTTCTGAGGGGAAGAATTTACCAGGACTTTGAGCCGAGTAAGACTGAGAAACAAGTTGGGTTGGGGAAAAAAGAGGGAGCCAGGAACCCACATCCTCACACTCAAACACACAACTTCCTCAGGGAGGGGATGCAGAAGATGCCTGACCTCTGAGTCCCTAGACCAGAGGGATGATGAATAGAAAGATCCTGCCCAAGGGCTTTGGAGAGGACAGGTTCAGGTCTCGGGTGTGTGAAATATCAGAGAGAGGGCTCAAGGCAGGTCTGCAAGGGATCCGGACTGGTCTGAGTGGAACCATGGAATTTCCTGGCCATGGGTCCAACTCCAAGCTCTCTAGTCTATGGTTCTCCAATCAGGTCAGCTCTGTCTGTCTGATGCCAGCACTATGTTTGCCACCTGAAGGGGCTCTATTACTTTTAAGTCCAGGCTTCTTTCCCAGGTTTCTATGCCACCTGAAGGCATGGGTGTTGTCCAGACCAAATGGAGTGGTTCCCCTAACTGACCTGTATCCACTCCCATCCAGGCTCAGGGCTCCATCACCACCCCAGGGTCCCACACTGCTGCAGAACACTGGGGGCAGAGGAGTCTTCACTAGCAGGGCCTGTGTTCAGTTCCAGGGAACACAGGCAGAAAGCAGCTCTGAGCAGTGTGAGGCTCTTTGCCAAGTGAACAACCCTGAGCCCTGGTATCTCTGCTGGGCTGTCAGGACTGGGAAGGTCACGCTTGTGTTCCACGGTACTTGAGGAAAGTGGTCTCCAGAAAGGCTGCTAGCTTTGTCCGGTCATCCTGCAGTGGGTGGGTAGGGAAGCATGGTAGTACTGGGCAGTTCTGCCGACCCTGAACCTTTCCAAACCCGAAGCATACCCGCCCACCTCGTGCAGGAAGCCATAGTGCACTAGCTCAGAGGCGAGGTCCTGGGCACTGTCGGCTGAAGAGAGAACACAGAACAAATGAGTTGTGGCACTACTAGTGCCTGAGCCCCAGCCCACCACCTGACCCCCTACCAGCCTACTTGGGAGCAGATCATAGGTCAGCTGCCGATGCAGACGATCCTCAAGCACCAAAAGTAGAGTAAGCTGTGAACGGAAGGGCGTGGTCAGGGCATCGCCAGAGTTGATTCATCCCCATCTTCCCTAGTCGCACCCAGGGCCCTTGCTCACGTGCCACCGAGCCTTGTCCTCGCTTCTTTCCAGGTTGCACTGCATCTGGACTACCTGAGGGCAGGGAAGGTATATTAGCCCCAGACTACTACTTAACAAAGGAGCCCGGAAGGATCAGCAGAGACCCAAAGATGGTAAACCTCTCCAAGGGAAGTCTGGAAAGCACATCTTACTGAACCAGCCTGGAGGTATTAGGGAAGGCTTCCAATAAGTAGGCCTTCTGTTTGAGTACTGAATGATGAATAGAAAGGCAGACAGAGAGAGACAGAGAGACAGAGATGGAGAGACAGAGACAGATAGAGACAGAGACAGGCAGAGGCAGACAGAGAAAGAGAACTGTGGAAAGCAAAGAAATGTTGTATCCTAGGGTGTGACTGTACAGAAAAGCAAGGTGCCACCAGGAGCAGGACAGGAGACTGGGGCTTGTGCTGATTTCCACTGGCTCTCTGGGCAGCTGGGATCCAGGACATGTAGACTACTGGCATTTGAATTTAGGGTGTACTGAGGAAGGAAGGAAGCTAGGAGGAGGGAGACTGGCTCTGAATCCAGATGGAGCATGGAGGTGGCCAAAGCCTCTGGAACAGAGCATGCAACAGGACGGGGGAAGGGCTGTAAATGCAAGAAGCCTCTGAGGAAAATGGTTGTCTTGGTTCGGTTACAGCTTCTATAAAGGTGGATTTGGTCTCTGGCAGCCTGGAGGAGAACTTGGATGGGGAGAGACAGGTCCCCAGAGAAAGGCATCCATTCCCTGGTTGTGGTCAACTCTGAGAGACAAGTACAGCAGGGGTTGGGATTCACCTTCCTGGTCTCTGAGTCAAAGGGTTCTGGCGTTGGAGTTTTGGCCTTTTGGGCCTCCTCTGGGGGTGGGGCCAACACACGGGGAAGTCCCAAGGGCCGAGCAGCCGCAAAATTCATCAGTGGATAGATCCCGTTCCTGGAGACAGACGAGGGGGTGGGTAGGTGGGGGCTCGGGCCTCAGTGTGCTTTTCTTCAGTGTCATGACAGCTCTCACCTGACATCCTCTAGAAATTTGTCCAGCTCCAAGAAGGAGACCTCTGAGTACCTGGAACGGCGTGGAAGGTACATGAGAGGCATCAGGCCAAAGGCTAGCCTAGTAGCTAGGAGGGGAGGCCTCGTTTGGCCATCACTCACCGCCACTGCATTGGGGGTCCATGGGGCTGGGGCATCTCAGCCAAGACTGCGTGGAGGTCCATGGCCTTGGTCTTTTCCTCTACCACATTTTCAGGCATGAGGTCTGTGAACCACAAAAATACTCATGGAGATGGCCCCAACCTAAGGGTCCAGCAAAGACCCTTCTATGATCTGACCCCAGGATCCTGGTCCATCCCGGCCCTTCTGCCCCTCACACTGGTGCTGGATGAAGCAGTGGGCTGCCAGCAGCTTCAGTGAGTGCACCTCGAAGAGCACTCGGTGGAAGAGGAGGTTGTGGGCTGAAGGTCGACGGGCAGGGTCCCGGGCCAGGCAGGAGAGGATGAATTCCTAGGTTGTGAAGAAGAGAGGCACATGGTGGGTAGAAAAATCCTAGCTCTAGAGGAGGTCCTTGAAAACCCTAGACCCCATGAATCCAATCACCACATCCTCCCGCCTCCGAGATGCTGGGGGAGCCTTCCTGTATGAATGAACAGAGAAGGCATCACATTAGCAGCTCAGGATCTGATTCTGTAAACTTGAGGATAGGCAGGCCTCGGGCTCCAGACACCTATGTCCTACTTCCATTCACCCTTGTGGAATTCGTGAGCTTCTAGAAGAGTCTTCCTTTCAGGTGGACCTTAGTCCACCTGCTATGCTTTCAGATGCTAACACTTTCAGATGTACTGACCAGGCTACCCCTCTAGCCTGCCTATAGCACTTCAAAGGCAAGCTGAAGCACCTGCAGCCAGCCCTAGAGGGGCAAGGTAAGCTGCTCACCCGCATGTTGGGGTCACTCAGTGAGTGCCTGGCTCGAGCAATGGCCTCTTCTGTGACTCGGGTATCCCCATTGGCTTGGATCTCCAGTACAGCCATCTGGGTGCAGGGACAAATTGGAAATGGCAGGATGAAGGGGAGCCCGGAGCAGAGGCTATGAGGAGAGTGGACAGTACCTCCAGTGCACACATCCCAAAGGAGAAGATGTCCACAGCAGTCCCATCATTGACTTCTGAAACGGAAAAAGCAAGGCAGGGTTGGTCAGTCTGATGTGCCAGCAGGTCAGAGGCCTGAGAGCGGCTTAAGGACTCACCGCCATACTCTGGTGGGAAAAAGTGCAGGTTTCGGAGTTCCTCCCGTTCAGCTCGAATAGGGCTCCGAAGATCATCAGGAAGTGCTACGGAAAAGCGTGGAGCTAAACAGGCCAGTTTCTCCACGGCCCCCACCTCCCAGAGACCCCACACACCATTGGAGAAGATGCGGTACCACACTGCAATGGCCAACGCAGAGAGAAAGAGAGGCCAGGGCGTCAGTGGGGCCGGGAGACTGGGCAGTCTCTGTCCCGGGCTCCCCGCAGGTTCCCCACCCCTGCCCCCTGCCCCAACCCGCCTCGCCAGCACCAGAGCCAATCTTGATGAGGCCATTGTGCTGAATGAAGATGGTGTCGCTGGTCAGGTTCCCGTGGATGATGGGGGGACTGCAGGCGTGCAAAAAACTGCAAGCATAGAGGAAGGGAGGCAGGAAGAACCGGGTCAGAGAGCACCGGAAAGGTGCAGAGCAAGGGTCAAGCGCGTGGGCAAAGCCAGGCTCTCACCTGAGTGCAGACAGGATCTGCGTACACCAGCGCTTCCAGGCCTGGCAGCGGACGCACGAGTCCGTCGGGTGGGCACCAAGAGGCTGCTGAGCCTGCGGAGCCCGCCCGCTACCCCACTCCTGAACCCAGGCCTCTCGGAGTCCCCCGCCCCACCACTGTCCCTAAGTTCTGCTGGACTCCCTCGGGTCCCCAGCCCACTCCCCATACCCGGGCGTTCATGGCCTTGTGGTTCTTCTTGGTCTTTTTGAGGAACTGCTTGAGGCTGCCAGACGACACGTATTCTGTGATGAAGATGACCTGCGGGCAGGCGGGCTCCGCCGTTGCGGGTGGGTCCCTATACTGCCCCACCCAGCCTGTGGCTTCACTCCGCCCTTCACCCGCCCCTAGCTCACCCTCGCGCGGGCCTCAGAGGCGTCCAGCCAATACTTGTGCAGCTTGACGATGTTGGGGTGGTCCACCAGCGCCAGCTGCTCAAACATGGTCTGGATCTTCTCCTGGGGAAGGAGGATGGTCGTGGGGGCAATCAACGGAATGGGGCAAAGGGGGTACAGACGGGCCTCACCTCATGGGCCGCAAAGGCCTTCCTATCCCCGAAGTGGAGTTCGTTCCACACCACTTCTACCCCCTCCTCCGTGTCCATAGCCAAAAAGGTGCTCTGGATCCCGGGCATGTTCCCTTGGTTCACCTAGGTGGGAAGAATTTGTGTCCTAATAAAAATAGACCCAGGGTGTGGACGCGGTCTCTGCCATAACCTTCCCCCAGCCACGAATGTGCTGCTAGCCCTGCCCAGCTCAGTGGGAGAGCTCGGGGTGGTAAAGCTGGGGATCTAGAACCCAGGAAGAGAGGGGTGGTGCCCAGGGGCTGGGCCAGAAGGTAAAGCAGGGTTTAGAGGTTGGGGACGATCCCCAGAGGGGTAGTGGGGGATCCAAGGGGCACGTGGAGGTGATCCCAGGATGACACTGGTGTTCAAGGAATAGGGGTTTCTCACCAGGGCTTAGGGCCAAAGGGATCCGAGAGCCTCCAGAGGCCAGAGCGTCCGGGGAGACCCTCACACTGGCTCGGCCCCCACGGATCCCATGGCCTCCATCCATAGGCTACGGGACGGCAGCGTCACCCGCACCCGTGCCCACCTGCTCCCGCCGCTTCTGCCAGCGGCCACACGGGCTCTCCTCCAGGATGTCGCTCTCGTCCTCGCTCTCGTCCTCCCTCTCGCGCTCCCGGCCTCTCCTCGGCGCCGGCTCCGGGGCCGCCATGGCTCGGCGAGCCCAGGCCGCCGCCCTCCGCGCAAGCCCTCGCCCCGCTCCCGCCCGCCCTGGCCCAGCGCCCGGCAGCCCAACCTGGAGCCCAGCGGAGCGGCCGCCGCGAGCCCTCCTCGGCTCCGGGAATTGGGAGGCGCGGGCTCGCAGCGGACCCGAGGGAGGGGCCGCCCCGCCCCTCCGGAGCCGCCTCTGCGGGCCGGTGCTGGAGTGTAGCTCGATCCAGGGCGGCAGAGCCCCGCCTCGGGCACGCCCCGCCCGCCCAGGCCACTCCTGCTTCCCCAAAAGCTCCGCCTCAAACAGACGCGCCCCTCAAAGGCACCACCCATTCCTGCAGAGGCCTCCCCAAGGTTTCCCAGGCAGCTGTGGTTCTGGCAGACTGTGTCTGGCCTCTTCGGGAATCACTTCTGCCCAACTCTTGGAGCCAGTTCTTCCAGCACTGCATCCCGATCCTACTCCTATGACAAATGTCCTGAACTCTGCCCAATGAAGAGAGTCTGGATGGGGCAGCAAGAGTCAAGGGCATCTGGGAGCAGCAGGCATTTCAGTGGTAGGAAGCCATATGGTCTCAGAAATGGGGCCAGTTCCCTCCTTAGGTAGCCAAGGAAAGCCTCACTAAAGATGGCACAGCAGCACAGACTGACAGGATGCACTTTAAATCCTCACCACCTGTCTCTTCCTGGCCCAGAATTCCGTGCTTCTCTTTCGGTGTACAAACCCACCTTTCATAATGGCAAGTTTCTCTTTTCTCCCCAAATATGACCCTCTCCTTTCCACTATGGGCTCCCTTGAAGCAATGACTCCATGAAGAGGGAGCATTTCTCACTTGCCACATCCAGCGAAATTCTCCCCCAAACCTCTATCCACCCCTCAACTGCCTTCACTCCTACGGCTGTCTTCTTACCCACCGCTACCTCCCCTTGCTATATAGAGACACCGTCTGCCCTCTGATTTTAAACACCATCTGGCCCCTGACCAGCTCTGTCCCCTACCCCCCGACTTCTGCCATAGCCTGCCCAGATTGCTGCAGCTGGCTGTGGTTTTCTACCCTTCCTAACTTGAGAAGGGTTAGCTAGTTTAGCAGATCAGGAGGGGTTAACCCTCTACTGGCCCCAGAAACAAAAACAGGGCCAATGCTTGGAAGACAATTTGCAAGTCCTTGGATCTACCTATTGTGTCTGTTTTCCTGGGACCCTAGCCACACTGGAGAGTGCAAAAGACAAGGAGCCTTGTACCACAGTGTTAGCAGAGCATCTTGGGGGTGGGTGGGTGGGGCAGGCACTACAGATAGAATCCACTTTTTAAAAATGTTTCTACATTGAAGACTCATTGGTTAAGAGTACTGCTCTTGCAGAGGACCCACGTTCAATTCCCAGCACCCACGTGACAGTTCACAACTACCTGTTTCTCCACTTCCGGGGGATCTGCTGCCCTCTTCTGGTCTTGATGGGTACCAAATGCACATATGGTAGTACGCGTATATACTCGTAGGTGCTCGTTATTACATAGACATAAAATAAACCTTAAAAACAAGCCATAACACCAAAGCTAGTGGCATGCATCACTGCTGGTAGAAGCATATGCTGTCTAAGAACTGTAGAGGAGAGGGCAACTGGATGCTCACACAGGCTTCCCCTAGGTTTCATTCCATAAGACCTTTGTCATGGCTGGTTTCTATAGACAACCTTTGTGGAGGTCAAACCTGCCCCGGGGACCCTGGGGCTCTGACTGTTTGCTTCGTTTGACAGGCCCATCCCTCTTTGTGCTGACTGTGTCTTATACATAGAATACATTTTCTGTCATCCTTTGAGTCCACTTCCTTCACTCAGGTGTCATCTCTCTGACAAGACTTCCTTAGGCTCCATGCTTGCACCCTCTGTCCCCTCCCTAGCCTCACAGCCTTTCCCATGACATTTGACACTGGACCTGCCTGTGTTGGTCTGTTTCATCTGTCCATGCTGGAATGTGTGTCTATAAGGGCAGTGTCTATAGGGGTAGGGTGTCTGCTCTCGGTGCACACACCATGCTCTCATCAATGGTGCGATGGATGTGCAGCGAATGCCACATGAAGGCTGAGGTAGGTGGTGCAAAGAGTCTCCTGAGGCTGCACAGATGAGCTGAACCTCAATTCATTTTCTTCCCCTCTTCTGTCCTATAGCCAGTCCCGTGTCAAACAGGTATGTGTATTGTAACCCCTAGTGCCTGGGAAACGGCCTTAATTTGAGACAAGCTCTTGTTGGATTTAGAGAGGACTGTGGAATCCAACATTTGGCGTGGAGCCTGAGGCTGACGTATGCTCTTGGTCACTTTCCTCCAGCCCCTGCTCCAGATCCAGTTGCCCTCCTGCCTCTGTCTCCACTGCTGTCCATTCCGCCATGTACTTACTATTAATCAGATGTCCTCTGGGCACACCCCCCCTCGATGGTCATCTACCCCCTTGACATCTTGCCTTGTGATTTAGCACCCAACACCTTTCTTCTAACTCTTGTAGACCCACCATGGATCCTTGGGTGTTCCTTCTGGGTCTCTCTGAGCCTGTCTCTGCTGAAGCGTAGACAAGAGATCTATTTTCTGAATTCCTGACCATGTCTTTCCCTCTGATAGGTGGCTTTCAAGGCTTAGACAGGTGTCCCCAGAGGCTAGGTATTCCAGGTAGTTAGAGAGGATGTCCCTTGCCTTGCCACAGCACCTGGCTTTGTGCTTTTAGGTAATACCCTCCAGGACTGTAGACTGGATTTAGAAACTTGCCTCAAAGACCAGAGGAGAGCAAAACTTGCCTCAAAGACCAGAGGAGAGTAGCAGTGAGAGGCTGGCCCCTTTGGGATGGGCAACGGAGTCTGTGGCTTCTGTTCTTGTTCCAAGAAAGCCAATATTGATCTTCCAAGCTCCTCTGAGGAGCTCACCCCATGTGGCAGGAAACTACTGTTTCCCGATGACAGTCAATGAGGGCCAAGCAGCCTTTCTGTAACTTTTTAAAGTTTGGAAGTGGTTCCTAGTGAGTGTGCATGTTTGGAGGGGGGAAAGATCAGCTGTTTTAGGAGATTTCAGGAGAACAGACATCTATTTAGTCATTAATCCCTACTGGGAAATAGAGGCAACAGTGCCAAATGGAAGTACTGGGTCCTGCAGCCAAGCGCTCTCCTTGGGTATCAGGCCCTCCTCAGTGATGTAACTCTGTCATCCACCAAATTGCCTCCAAGGATGACTTGAACATTGTTACATTTTTATTCATTTCAAAAATGTGCCCAAAAGATCAATTTGCACCTGGTCAATACAACAGTACAAGCAAATACATATGAAGCTGTATGGTGGGCATACCTCTCAGTGGATGAGCTTTGAGCTCTTCACGGGTTATCAGTAATCACAGAGCCAGAATGCAGGAGACACTCAACAACCATTCAGCTGCATTTAGAGGAGGAGGAAGAGGAGGAGGAGGAAGAGAAGGAGGAGGAGGAGGAGGAGGAGGAGGAGGAGGAGGAGGGGGAGAGGAGGAGGAGACAAGTTATTTCTCTTGTTGAGATGATTTGCTAGATGCCACATTTATTCAATTTTCAATATTGACTAAAAATGGATGGAAGTCTAAGACAAAAAGGAACTTGCACAGTAAGTGATACAATGTAACATTTCCCTTTTCTTTAAGAGAGTGATTATTGCCAGGCAGTTCTTGATGGGTGGGGGCTGTACATACCTTTTATCCCAGCACTGGGGAGGCAGAGGCAGGCAGATCTATATGAGTTCAAGGCCAGCCTGTTCTACAGAGCAAGTTCCAGGATAGCCAGGGCTACACAGAGAAATGCTTTCTTGAAAAAAAAAAAAAAGCACAGAGGGGGTTATTTGAGGTATCATAACAGATACCACAGGTGTGGTAACTTAAAGAGCAGAAATTAATTTTCTCATAGCTCAAGGGTAGAAGTTCAGGATCACAGAGCAACAGGGCTTGTCCATCCTGAAGTCCCCCTTGATGTGAGGACAGGTTCTCCTCTCTGCATCCTTGAACAATACCTGACTGTATGTGAATGTGCCTTTACTTCTTTCTTTTTTTTCTTTCTTCCTAGATTTATTTTATTGTATGTGCAGGGCCGTGACTATGCATGTTGTATGTGCTGTGTTCATGAAGTGCCCATGGAGACCAGAAGAGCGTTGGCAGTTATAGGCAGTTGTGAGCCTCCATGAGGGTTCTGGGAATGGAACCTGAGTCCTCTGGGAGAACAAAAAGTGCTTTGAGCTTTTGTGGTGGTTTGAATATACTTGGTCCAGGAAAGGAGGTGTGGCCTTGTTGGAGGAAGTGTGCCACTGTAGGGGGTGAGCAATGAGACCCTTCTCCTAACCACTAAGTGGGAGCCAGTCTTCTCCTAGCAGCCTTCAGATGAAGATGTAGAACTCTCAGCTCCTCCTGTGCCATGCTTGCCTGAATGCTGCTATGCTCTTGCCTTGGTGAAAATAAACTGAACCTCTGAGCCTGTAAGCCAGCCCCAAATAAATGTTGTTCTTATAAGAGTTGCCTTTATCATAGTGTCTGTTCACAGCAATAAAACACTAAATGAGACAACTGTTAGGCCATCTCTTCAGGCCCTGACAACCTCTTTCTTAATTATATACGTCAGTACTGGGCATGATGTTGTTGCATATCTGTGATCCCTGAATTGAGGATTGGGAACTTGAGGCTATCCTGAGCCATACATAGCAAGTTCTATAATTTCCACTGAATGACTCTGTCTCCAAATAGTGACACTTTAAAGCACGCTTAACCTAAAGGTTAAAATGTCTATATTTTAGCTTTTTAAGAATAATTTTCATATAAAAAATCATATTTTTTTCAAGATAGGATCTCACTGTGTAGCTCTAGCTGTCCTGGAATCTGTTCTGTAGACCAGGCTAGCCTCAAACTCACAGAGATCCTCCTGTTCTACTTCCCCGGTGCTGGGTTTAAAGCCCCCACCACCTGGTTATCTAGTTACTCTAAAACTAGTATTATTTGTTAGTAGATTATTGCTTAGAAAAATACTTTTGAAGATACGTTTTTATTATTTTTATTTGTGTGTGCGCGCGTGCATGTGTGTGGGTGCATTCGAGTGTGTGTGCGTGTGTGTGTGTGTGTGTGTGTGTGTGAATGTCATCTGGGTGCTAGATCTACTGGAGCTGAAGTTTCGGGTGGCTGTGAGCTGTCTGAGCTGTGGACTGGGAGCTGAGACCTGCTCCTCTGGAACAGTAGTAAGCATGATTAACTGTGAAGCCATCACTCCAGCTGCAGAGAACCATCTTTAACACTGGAACACAGAAAGATGACCTGTTGGCATATGCCTGTGATCTCAGCGCTTGGAAAGTGGAGCAGGAGAACCCGGAGTTCAGAAACATACACAATTACATAAGGAGTTTGAGGACAGCCTGAGCTATATGAGGCTGCGTCTCAAAAAACAAACAAAAGAGGTAAGTATAGGCAGAAGAGTTGGCTCAGAA